CTATAAATTCAGGAATATTCCCAAACGAGCAGAAGCGTCTATCAAAATACTTTTTCGCCGCCGTAATCTTATGTACCCGAGAGATCCCATAGAAAAGAGAGAGAACTAGGATTCAAACACATGTCACTCATGTAGATGCTTGAGGTGCTAGCTAGTGCGGTGGGCGGGCGTATTTGGATAGAGAAGCGTTTGTGACGAGCACGTTTGTCGGGAGGGACGAAAATTCTGACATTCGTTAGATATGATTTCTCATTTTATATACACGTGAGGTGAATAGTTAAATATTTATTTTATTTTAAGGTATATATAAATATTTATTCCTTGCACAACTTTTGTGCAAGGACGTACAGTAGTAGTATCCGATAAAAAAATTTGCAGGAAAAGGAAACGAGAAAGATTTACGGGAGCACGAAGCGGAGAAGACGAGGAGTAGTCGAGTTCGAACCAGAATCTCGCCCCGTCCCCTGGAAGCGCGACCGCACCGACTCCGGCGACCCAGGGCAGGGCTTCCCCCGCGACCTCGATTCTGACCATCGCCGAAACCCTCCAAAACCCTCGGACCGCACGCCGACGCCATGCGTCCGTCTCAGGACCGCCGCCCCTTCCGCCCGCCGGACCGGTTCTCGCCGCCTCCCCACCTCCACCGCCAGCCGCCCCCTCACGCGCGGCAGTTCGCGGTGATCCTCCTCCGCGCGGGCCCCAGCTTCTCCTCCCCGCCGGCCACGGAGGTCGACGCCCTCGTCGCGGGCCTCCAGTCGCCGCCCCCCGACAACCTCTCCGTCTGCTCCGCCGGCCGCCAGGCCGCCCGACTCCTCTTCCGCTCCCTCCCCGCCGCCGCGGCCGCCGCGCGCGAGCTCTGGTCGCTCCGCCTCGACGGCCTCCACCTCCTCACCCCGTACCTCCCCGACGCCGCCCTCGCCTCCCACGCCTTCCCCCTCGTCGCCTCCCTCTTCGCCTCCCACGCGTCCCGCCTCCTCGACTCCGGCCTCGTCTCCCGCTCCGCCGCCCGCTCCGCTGAGCTTGCGGTCTCCATCCAGTCTGTTAAACGCCGCCTTCGCGGTCACAATAACTTCCGCGACTTCGATCAGTTCAATCTCCAGAAGAAAACATTGGAGGCTGAGAAGGAATTGGTAGATGCCAAAATTGCCGAGTACAAAGCAGCGATGAGTTCGATAAGGCGTGCCATGTTACGTGGGACGGATGACGAGGAGGAGGTGGAGGAGGAAGGGGTGGATGTGTTTGGGATTGGGGAAGGAGAGGATGTGGACTTTGTGAGGTTGCACATGATGATGATGCGCGAGTGCAGGAGGCTCAACGAGGGGCTACCAATCTACTCATACCGCAGAAAGATTCTCAATCACATTTTCAATAACCAGGTGACTTTTCTGCAGTTTTATTGTGATGGCTGCAAATTTGCAATGCAGTGTGAGCCATTTGATAGTTTATATGATTTTTGAGAGTTAAAAAAAGCACCAGGTGTTAATTGTGCGTTTTGCCACCGCCTTGTGCTTTTCTGACCAAAGTGCAGCTTAAGCGCAATAAAGCACTAGAATTTTTTCTATAACCTAGTGCCTAGGCATGCTTAGGCGCCTGCCTCGGTTTGCCTTTTAAACTATGGATTTGCATGCTTAGAATCAAGGAGAAAGAGCCGTGCCTGTGGAGCTTTGTCATGTGCATGTTATTATATTGCAGTGCACCATTTAGTTTCACTTGTTTATTTGAATTTGCCGGCCGTAACATGCTGATGCAAAAGTCAAGGTTTAATTATACGAGCTTTCTTCTCTACAGGTTATGATCTTAATCGGGGAAACTGGTTCTGGGAAAAGCACACAACTAGTTCAGTTTCTTGCTGACTCAGGTCTTTCTGGTAATGATTCAGTTGTCTGTACGCAACCTCGGAAAATTGCTGCTTTATCATTGGCACATAGAGTCGATGAAGAAAGCAAGGGCTGCTATGCGGACAATTTTGTGTCGTCATATTCAAGCTTTTTGAATTATCAAAACTTCAGTTCGAAGATTATATTTTGCACAGATAGTTGTCTTCTACATCACTGTATGAACGATGCGGACCTGAATGGCATTTCCTATATCATTGTTGATGAAGCTCATGAAAGAAGTTTGAACACCGATCTTCTCTTAGCTTTGATCAAGCAGAAGCTGCTTGATAGGTTGAATTTGCGACTCATTATAATGTCTGCCACTGCTGATGCTAATAGACTTGCTGAATACTTTTATGGCTGCCAAACATTCCATGTGAAAGGGAGAAATTTTCCTGTTGAAATTAAATATGTACCTGATGTATCAGTTGATGCTTCTTTCAATATTGTGCCAAACTCTTTGTGTGGTCCTTGTGCTGCTGCTTCTTATGTCAATGATGTTATAAGACAGGTAAGCATCATCCACAAGAATGAAGAAGAGGGTGCCATCCTTGCTTTCTTGACATCCCAGCTAGAAGTTGAATGGGCTTGTGAAAATTTCACCGATGCAAGTGCGGTGGTACTTCCTATGCATGGAAAGCTTTCCCCTGTGGAACAGAGTCGTGTTTTCAAAAGTTATTCTGGAATGAGAAAAATTATCTTCTGCACCAATATAGCTGAAACATCACTTACTATAAAAGAAGTGAAGTATGTTGTTGATTCTGGACTGGTCAAGGACAGCAGATTTGTGCCTAGCAGTGGTCTTAATGTTCTGAAAGTCAATTGGATTTCCCAAAGTTCAGCTAATCAACGCGCTGGCCGGGCAGGTCGAACGGGAGTGGGGAAGTGTTATAGACTTTACTCCGAAGCCGACTTCAGTATGATGGAACTGCATCAAGAACCTGAAATCCAAAAAGTTCATCTTGGCACTGCTGTTCTAAGAATACTTGCTTTGGGTGTTAAAGATGCACGGAATTTTGAGTTTGTTGACGCCCCGAATCCAGAAGCGATCAATATGGCTGTGAAGAACCTTGAACAGTTGGGTGCTGTCAAATGTAATTGTAATTGCTATGAGCTGACTGATACCGGACGCCACTTGGTCAAATTGGGAATTGAGCCAAGGCTTGGAAAAATTATGCTTGATTGCTTTGGTTTTGGTTTGAGGAAGGAAGGTGTAGTTTTAGCTGCAGTTATGGCAAATTCTAGCAGCATCTTTTGTAGAGTGGGCACTGATGAGGAGAAACACAAAGCTGACCTTCAGAAAGTCCGTTTGTGTCACCAAGATGGAGATCTGTTCACTCTACTCGCTGTTTATAAGAAATGGGAGGACGGGCATGAAAACAGGAACATGTGGTGTTGGCAGAACAGCATCAACGCCAAAACCATGAGGAGGTGCCAGGAAACTATATCAGAACTTGAAAATTGTCTAAAGCATGAGTTGAAAATTATAATCCCAAGTTATTGGTGTTGGAATCCTGAGGCTCCCAGTGAGCATGATAAGTTGCTAAAAAGAATTATCCTGTCATCTCTTGCAGGTAATCTTGCTATGTTTTTAGGACATGAAAGGTTTGGTTACCAGGTGATTTCGACAGATCAGATTGTGAACCTTCATCCCTCATGCTCATTGCTCAATTATGGTACCAAGCCAGATTGGGTGGTGTTTTCAGAAATCTTATCCGTCCCAAATCAATATCTGGTATGCGTAACTGCTGTTGATCATGATGCTTTGTATGCAATTCACCCAATGTCTTCCATTCAGCAACTGGAGAAACATAAATTGCAGATAAAGGTGATTAGTGGGCTTGGTAATAACTTGCTGGGAAAATTTGTTGGCAAATCTGGCCAAAATCAGCAGAAGATCATCTCACGTCTCAAGGAAGATTGCAGGGATGACCGAGTAACTGTCGAAGTTAACTTTAACAATAACGAAGTTGTGTTATTTGCTACCGCACAGCACATGGAAAAGGTCTTTTGCATTGTTAACAATGCTTTGGAATGTGAAGGTAAGTTGATGAGGAACGAGTGCCTTGAGAGAAGTTTATTTCCCGAGAGGTCAGGCAGTTCTCCTATTGCACTATTTGGCTCAGGTGCGGAAGTCAAACATTTAGAACTTGGGAAGAGATATCTGACAGTAGAGGTTCTACATCAAAATGCAAGTGACATCAATGACAAGGAGCTTATTAGCTTGGTGGATAGTCTTGTTTCCGGTGTTGCTAATTTTCATAAATCCAGTGGAAATTTCCGGCTAGGCTCAGGTGAAACTAAATGGGGGAAGATTACATTCCTCAAACCTGAAAATGCTGAAGATGCTGTCTCAAAATTGAACGGGGTAGAATTTTATGGTTCCTCTCTAAAAATAGTTCCTGTATGTTCTCCTGATAATCAAGGTTTACGATTTCCTTCAGTAAGAGCTAAATTATGTTGGCCACGTAAGGAAAGCAGGGGCCTTGCACTTGTAACATGTGCCAGTGGGGAAGCTCAATCTGTTGTAGATGACTGCTTTGCCTTAGGAATCGATGGAAGGTATATCAGTTGTAGGGTTAGTAAGAAGGAGGAGAACTGTGTATTTGTCGAAAGAATTCCATTGCATGTATCGGAGCTGGAACTATATGATGCTTTTCGCAGCACAACAACAAGGAGAATCCTTAATATCCGTCTGCTCAGGGTCAAGGAAGCCACTATAGCTAGCCCCTCTGTTTCTGTATGCGAAGAAGCGCTGATTAGAGAAATTTCTCCATTCATGCCAAACAAGAGTTTTCCTGGAAAAAGTTTCCGTGTTGAAGTGTTCCCTCCCGAGGAAAATGACTCGATGATGAGAGCAACTTTAACTTTTGATGGAAATCTTCATCGAGAAGCTGCAAGAGCACTGGACCATCTTGAAGGAAGTATTCTTCCTTGTTGTCAACCTTGGCAGATAATACAGTGCAAGCATGTATTTCATAGCACTATGTCCTGTTCAGTGCGTGTTTACAATGTTATCAGCCAGGAAGTGACTTCTCTGCTTGAGAGCTTCCGAAGCCAAAAAGGTGTGCCTGCATTCCTCATTCGCTAAATGCATTGATTTTTTTCACTGTTCTATTGGTTGAATCTCTCCTTCCTCATTGTGGTTGCTTTTGTATTCCTTTTTGTCTTTCTTTTTTCACTTAGTTTAGTTTTATACGATGTAGCCAGACTTTCTGAGCCATCTTTTCGGGAAACTCATCTAGGACCCTCGTCTCCCTAGGGAGGAACTTACTGCTATTGACTTTGCAGTGTTTTCTTTTTTGTGAAACTTCAAGATTTTTCATGCCTTTAGTACCTTTCCTTGTTTGACACTAGGAAAGTAATGACTTCCCTGTTTGACCCTGGAAAAAACTTTCTTCCCTATTTGGCACCGGATCTAATTTTCATGCCTTTCGTGACACCGCCAACCACCGCTAGCATATCACGTCTAAGACCTGTCAGTTTTTTGTTGCATGGACGAAACTACCGCTGGCTGTACAACACTAGAAAGGAAAAAAAAACAGGCCATCGCGCCCAAGTCGCTCTCTCCCTCCCCACTCTTTGTCCACCGATCCATCCCCTTCAATTTCTCCCCCAATCCCCACCCAAGATCGACTGAAGCGGTCATTGGTACTGCTGGAAGCAGCCGCCCGTGCCCTACGGCGCAGTGCCTGCTCGGCCTCTGCGTGCACACACGACCCTGCCCCTGCCCCTGTGTGTCCTTGTCCTTGCTGTCCCCCTCTGCCTCCGGCACGGTCGTCCGCTAGGTGTGCAAACTCATCGAGCGGGAGTGCCAGATCGACAAACAGAAGGTGCAGGTATCGCGGTCCGTGGCCGTTGGCGGAGGTAGCAATACCAGTGAAGAGAGGTGCAGGTATCGGCGGTCCGTGGCCGTTGGCGGAGGTAGCGGTACCAGTGAAGAGAGGTGCAGGTCCAGGGTCTGGGGGTGGACGGTGTTGCGTGAAACGGCGGCCCGCTGCTGCTGGTGGTCAGTGAGCTCATCTGCGTGGTCGGTTTACGGCGCTGCAGTGCCACAGCGCGGATGTAGGGGACAGCTAGGGCGTCAAGCATGGAGGTGTGCTGCTCCTGGAATGCCAGCTCCGGGTGCTGGTGGATACGCTGCCATGAACCCCAGCGTGTGCCTCCTCCAGCAGCTGTGCCGCCAGCCCGCCACCGTGACCATCGTTCTTGCCGGAAGCGCACGTGTGGGAGATGGAGGAGGAATTAAGCTGCCGCCTTATGGCACGCCTTTGTGCGCACGTTGCAGTCTGGTCGGGGCGTGGTGTAGTCGTGTACTGCTACTAGTGGCCGCCTGGCTGGCATGTAATGTTTGCATGTACTACCTTTTTTTTTGAGGGGATGTGTGCGTGTACTACCTAATGTATGTATGTATGTATCATCTGTCCATGTAACAATGAAAAAAAATCTAAATGTCCTCCAAAATTCATCACAGTGCTTTGGTCAAAATTTTGGTCACATACTACATTGGAGGCAAAAGCGTCTTTTCAGGTGTTATTAACACCGTTAGTGGCCAAAATAGACGACAGTGTCATAAAAGGCATACAAGTTAGAGGCAGTGTGAAATAGGAAAGTATTTTTTTCCAGGCCCAAATAGGGAAGCACATTTTAATGTAGTGCCAAATAAGGAATTTCCTCATTGGGTCCCTTAGCTTGAATTCCCTTTACCTGTTCTTTAAGAGTGACAGGATTGATTTTTCTGTACCGTAATAGACAAGCTCAAAAGAAAGACTAATTATATAAAAACGCGACCATTCTTCAAAGAATTTATATTAGCTAATAAAGAATCTATATTATGGGCAAAGCCATTTTTCTCAATTACATTTTTTCTAAGTCTTCGCTTGCTCCAGGGAGAAAACCATTATGAGTTGTGGCTCATATAAATTTGAACCGGGGAACATGAGTATTATATAGCTCATTGTCTATTTTATCTCAATATCTTCATGAGAAGCATAAAATCCAGTGGCGGCGCCAGCGACAAAAAGGCTGTGGGTTCAAGTGCATTAATCTCTCTGAAATTTTCTACTTTTTTACACACATCTGAATGAAACTAAGGGTGTGATAAAAAATCTGTGGGTCAGCTGATCCCTCAGCTAACATGTAGAATCTCCACTGATAAAATCATAACATCATCTGTTTCCAAATATCAATGTAAATTTTGTATCGAATTAATGTGTGTGCTACTTCATTGATGTTTCTCAAAACCAGCAAACTCATCAGGTTCCAATTTATGTACAAGAAGAATGTTTAGCACATAATTTTATATCTGCTGGCAAGTTCGAAGTCTTAATCAGTGTACTTTATGCAGGTGTGTCTTACAATTATGAGAAGACCGAGAATGGTATTTTCCGAGTAAAGCTCACTGCAAATGCCACAAAAACAATAGCAGATCTGAGAAGGCCGCTTGAGATTTTGATGAAAGGGAAAACCATAAACCACCCTGATCTGACATTAAGTGCAGTTCAGATGCTCTTATCCCGTGATGGCGTAGCCCATTTGAAATCAATTGAACAAGAAACTGGTACTTACATTTTGTATGACAGGCAAAGTCTAAATATTAAAGTCTTTGGACACCAACATCACATGGCTGAAGCGGAAGCGAAATTGGTCCATGCACTTCCACAGCTCCTTGAGAAGCGGCCTCTTGAAATTTGTCTTCGTGGGCATAACCTCCCTCCAGACTTGATGAAGAAAACAGTAGAAAATTTTGGAGTTGATCTGGAAGGATTCAAGACTGTGACGCCCTCGGTAAAGGTTGAGTTACATAAACACCGCCATATACTTAAAGTTTGGGGCAGTAAAGAGGATAAGCGAAGGGTGGAGGGGATGATCTCTGAGCTGATAACCTCAGTTAAACACAATGTCCCGGTTCACCTTCCGTCAGAGAATTTTGGAGGCGGTAAAGAAGATAATCAAAGGGTGGCTGACAATGAGCTTTCAATGGATGCATGCCCTATTTGCTTGTGTGAGACGGAAGATCCTTTTAAGCTTGAATCGTGTGGGCACATATTTTGTCGGGCTTGCTTGGTGGATCAGTGTGAAGTTGCCACAAAATCGCATGATGGGTTCCCTGTTTGTTGCCTCAAAACTGGGTGCAAGAAGCCATTCCTCATTGTTGATCTGAAGCACCTCGTGTCAAATGAGAAGCTGGAGGACCTATTCAGAGCTTCCTTAAGGGCATTTGTTGCATCTAGGGCAGGAATATACCGTTTCTGCCCAACACCGGATTGCTGATCCATCTACCAGGTGGCAGCTCCAGATGCAGAGACCAGGCCTTTTGTCTGTGGGGCTTGCTATGTGGAGATCTGCACCAAGTGCCATCTCGAGTATCATCCTTTCATATCCTGTGAGGCTTACAAAGAATACAAGGAAGACCCAGACGCAACACTTCTTGAATGGCGCAAAGGGAAGGAGAATGTGAAGAACTGCCCTTCCTGTGGATACACGATCGAAAAAGCTGAAGGCTGTAACCATGTTGAGTGCAGATGCGGCTGCCACATTTGCTGGGCATGCTTGGCGAACTTCAGGAGTAGCGAGGAGTGTTATGGCCATCTCAGATCCGCGCACCAATCCTTTGTGGACATTGTGTAGAACCTAGGTGTAGATTTACTGCTGGCAGTCCTGCGTCGTGGAAAACCTGTATGTTAGCAAACTGTTGCCAAATCTTGGACATTGCCACATTAGGCAAAATATGTGAATTGTTGGTGCTGAAGCATGCAGTAATCGTCAAGCTGCGAAGGTATTGCAATTAAAGCCATAAAATGTGCAAGAAGGGGCGCATCCAGGAGGTATCTACGTCTGGCTGAATGCTTCTCTCCTGATTCCCTGCCGATCCACTCCAAGCTGCTAAGGGTGAGTGTTTGTTCCCCAAATCACTTTATTGTGTGATGCCATGGTACCATTTTTTGGATTTCATGCTTATTTCATACTTCATACAATGTTTTGGCTAGTTTGAAGGAAGTGTGTGAGATGAAGGCTCTGAAGAAGGGAGGGCACATTTCCTTTTCAAAATCAGTGAAGCCCTCCTCCAGTGTCCCAGCAATGCACAAACGTTCTAAGAGGTTGGATATGTGATTTTCTTCTGCAAATTCTTTATTTTTGTTGCCTCGGTGGTGCTTAGGGATGAGCATGATGATTTTCTTTTGTGTGGTGACTTGTTCTTGCCAGTTACTCTGAGCCTCGTTTTCATTGCTGCTATGTTCTTCCCAGTTACTGTATGTTGTTACTGTTTGAATAGTGTGCTGTGGATGAATATCCCATCTCATTATTTCTGATTGTTAATTTGTCAATGTATAGTTATACGCTATAGCTGTGCATATGCATAGTCATGTGTTGAGATTGCATCATGTACTGAAGAAACTTCTAAGAAATATGTTAGCTGATTGTCTGCTTGTATGTAGGATTTAGGTAGAGTTATGGCCTGCCTAGGAAATCTGCGCTTATTCTCTGCTTGTATGTAGGATTCATTTTGCAATTACGAGTCCTCACAATTCACACTTTCGAATTATGTCCCATTTATGCCAATGGATTTCTGCATTTTTGTGATTGTTTTTTCCAAATACTTTGTTTTAGACCATCTGAATGAAAGGACCACAGAATATTGCATCTTCCAGGATGCACAACCTTCGATCAACACCCTTGTTGCCAAGATCAAGTGACTACACATGTAGTACAAAGAGAACTTTTCTTGATCCAGTAAGAAAAGACTAACCAAAGGTGAAATGTACTTTTCTGGAGTACATTTCAGGATGTTTTCAGTCATATACCTAGGGCAATTGTCTTCTTTCATGAAAAAAGACGAAGAAATGAAACGTCAATTAGCATTCCTTCCTTAATACTCCAGAAAAGGGCTGCTCAGTTACAAAATGCAGTCGTGTTATATTTTCCTTTCTTTTGACTGCTGCCAGCCGCTTGCTTATATTACTGTATTTCAGCTTCATAGTATCTTGTTATTGCTGATCAGAGTGCTGTTTTAGGATTATTGTAGCTGGACGAGAAGAGGCTGACTTCACTTTCTGTGTTTATAAAAGTTGTCATGATCAGATTGTTGTAATGTTAACTGGTTCTCATCGTTTTTGGTACATCTCCAGTCCATTGTCCTGTTTTTTAACAAACCCTTCCATATCTGCTAGGTTATTTCTTGCTGTATTTCCAAACCTTTTATATATCTATCCAAAAGGAGGATCAGCAATCTAAGCATCCTGCAGCGAGCAGCACCGGTGTTGCAAGGCAAGCCAGAGGAAGAAGCGACATCTCGGAGGCACACGAGCCTCCGAGAGGATCTTGTGGCAGGGGTAAGATGCTGCGATTCACACGGTCTAGAGATTGAAGCCATCCAGGGGTGGTGCCTTTGTTGAATTCTACACACCACTATTGTAGTAAAAAAAGTGGAACAGTTGTGCACTCTTGCTAACAGATACTCCCTCCGTCCGGAAATACTTGTCATTGAAATGGATGTATCTAGATGCATTTTAGTTGTAGATACATTCATTTTCATCCATTTTGATGACAAGTATTTCCGGACGGAGGGAGTATCTAGCGAATTTGTGATGACGGTTCACACTGATCATGCTATGATCATGATGTGCTTGTTGTATGCTGATACCAGGAGCGAAAGACTATTTGTGAAGCAATCCGAATTAGATCATCTGAGCTGTGCACTTAATCATCACCTGGCGTTACCAGGACATTTTTTTTATTTTATGTTAACTGGCAGGAGTTGTGCTGTTGCATTATAATATTACCTCCGTCCCAAATTAGTTGTCTTAGATTTGTCTAGATACGGATGTACCTAACACTAAAACATGTCTAAGACATATCCGTGACTAACAAATTTAAGATGATAATTTGGATCGGAAAGCACAAGAGCAAAACAGAGAATGGCTGGCTATACAAACAACGGATGAGTGAATGGACCAGATGCACATCAGGTTCTTTTTTTTTTTACTTCAGCCAATTGGGAGTAGAACAAAATTATTAGAACTTAAAATATTTTGAAAAGTATTATAACCAAACGAGCCAGAAAAAAACCATGGTAACCTCAACCAGATTACCGAGCGTGGTGATGTTCACCTCCTAGCCCAGGTCTAAAAATATGCGATTTAACAATTTTAGACAATGCATGGACATCACTCCAAGCAACCCGTGCTTGGAGAGTGAAACAATAAACGTTGAATTTCCTGTTCAAAATAGAAGTTGCATCGCGTGTGCCCTAACAGTTCCACTTAATCAATTACTATTTTCAATATGACACCCTGGTACGAGAAATTCTTTGATTTAATCAGTAATTTTAGTTTTCATAATTACTCTCATGGAGTGTACTTTATAAAAAAAGGGAGTAAAGTGATACTGGTCGATGGGTCTTTCTAACAGTGGCACTCCATCCATCCTTTTTACTTCACAAATTAGTTTTGTTTTAAGTCTAACTTTTTGTAGTTTGACAAGAAAAAATAGCAACATTCACAACAACAAATCAAACTACCCGCAAAAAGAAATAACAAATCAAACTGTTATAGAGCACGTCAAAAGAAATCCATCATAGAATACTTTTTCATAGTGTATTGTAACATACACTTGATTAAAGAGTGTGGGTGCAGCCGCTGTGGGTGCACCGTGGGTGTAACATACACTTGCCTTCTTTGTAATTGAGGAGGTGTTTTAATCGATACTTTTTCTGAAGTGTTTTGCTATATTTTCTTGCGTGGGTGTACCGTGGGTGCGTCGAAGATGGATGCAGCCACTACTTTTCCCTTGGTCAAACTTTACTAAGTGTGACTTAAGACAAAACAAAAGAAGCAGAAAAGTACGTACTCCCTCCGTCCGGAAATACTTGTCTTCAAAATGGATAAAAATGGATGTATCTACAACTAAAATACATCTAGATACATCCATTTCAATGACAAGTATTTCCGGACGGAGTGAGTAACTATTATTTAATCACAAATCAGACGGACCCTCTAAATAAGAGCTAGGTAGCGTCCATGATATACCGTACTTTATTGTGAGTTTGTGACCCAAACAGTAACCCAAATTGGTGTTGATTCAAGCTGTGAGGCAGAGTTATACCTCAGCCAGACAGAATGTACGCCCAAACACGATTTAATGCATTTCTCTGAGCCAACACACGATATAATACATGCATTAATTCTCCTCGCCTATTCAAATTTACACACATGTTGCTGTAGTGTGCTGTCATCGTTTGTTTTTATCTTTTTCGTTATCGCCAGTAACAATACCCCATTCCAAATATGACATGAATAAATGCATGATTACTTGTTCGTTTCTTTGTACAGATTAAATGTACATGTAAGCCGTGTTGAAATAGAACACCTGTAGAATCTTAAAACTGCGCTTTTATAGGTTAAGACCATCTTTATTTAGGCTGTAACTATAAATTCTTAGATTATAGACCATTTTTTTATACATTAAGAGCGTGTGGTATTTTTTTCTCCCGTTGCAACATACGGGCCTTTTTGCTAGTAACAATAATAATAATTACCTTTCCAAACTTGTCTAAAAAAACTTAACTTTTCAAACTATAATTCTTGGGAAATGATTGCCCTCAGTCGGCTGATAATCTTGGTGCGTCCGCCGTCTATGTTGCCCGCCACGTGTCCTCAAACACGAAGGCAAGTGTAGGCACCTGTTAGAGGGACTGTGGTATCTCTAGCCCACCAGGGTTCAAATCCTGGTGCTCGCATTTATTCCTGGATTTATTTCAGGATTTCCGACGATGCGCATTCTGTGGGAGGAGACGTTCCCATCGACGACGAGGCGCCTACGGTGAATTCGTAAATCTCAAGATGATATGATGGCTCAGTCTTTCGGAGGTGTTCATAGGAGTAGGGTGTGCGTGTGTGCGTTCATAGGGATGAGTGTATGCGCGTGTATATGAGTGCTTGTGTCTGTACTGATGTTCAAAAAAAAACGGCGTTGTTGCAAATCTTGACGGCGAAGAACTAATATGATGCGACGCAGCTTCGTTTTATAGAAATAATCCTGCAACAAGTAGTCTGTTGCAAAGAAGAATTCACAACAGATAGTTGTTACAAAAAAAATTCTATAAAAAATCTGCAACAAGACATCAGTTGCAAAAAAAAAGTGAAAAGACACGTGTTGCAAAAAGTTCTGCAACAAGATGTCTATTGCAAAAAATTCTCGCAACAAGACATGTATTGCAATGATGGACGGTAACACAGCCATTCGATGCATCAAATCTAACGACTCACGGCTCG